AACTTCTAGCTGTTTTGTGTCAACATGATAAAATCCAATTCACGCGCTTTTTGTGTGCAATGCGCATTGTAGGTGGGCTGAGATGAGGTATACACCCTCCTTACAATGCGTTCAGTTTCCATGTGCTTCCAAGGTAGCACATTCATAACCTGTGCACAACAACTACACAGTAGAACCCCTTCACTTGGATGAAATGCTAGGATTTGTATGTGTACTAATGCAGTCGAGCTTAGTACAAGGCCATGTGATATTGGAAAAAATGTGAAGTTAAATGTCAATGTCACTTACGTGACAAGAGCCCGATAGTTAGCTGCATTCTTATTGAGAATCAACTTTGCACTCCGAGCATCACGGTGGTGATACTCCTGCAACGTGTCCCAGAGAATGCCTACAACAAGGGTGTTTGAACAATTTAATAAATTGCATAAGCTGAAGTTACAAAAAATGAGGTTTATTATTAAGAAACGTGTTAGGATGTTTAAAAATTAATGTAAATGCGTGCAATTAGCTTGGGGGTGTGCCTAATTAAAATGCATCGTTTCGATTGGCGTGGTCCGTCCAGGCACCTCCACTTCGGGTGTCCGGGGCGCTTAGAGAAGAACTGTGACCCGCACCAATTGCAATTACACATGTAAAAAAATCTTCTAATCAAGTTGTTATCAAAAGCTACCCCCCCCCAAAACTGAAAGATGTTCCAAACTTGTTCTCAGTATTTACTTTGCTGTGTGTACAAGAGGAGCCATTGAAAGGGAAGAGATCACAGGTTCACGAAAAGGTGAAAAATAGGCCAACACTCACACCATAACTGTATTTTTTTTATTGTTCCTACTGTAAGTGTAAATGCTGAACCGCCCTAACGACAGAGTTATGTAACCAGGGTGACTAAACCTTGAAGGTGGTTTCCGATACCGCCTTTCCGTTGTTGTGCCACGGTCAGTGCCCCGCCTTACTAGGACAACTTACATGTTTGGTTAAAAAGTGCCCAACTCAACCAAAATTATTAGTTACTGCTATTTAAGAAGACGTGCTTTACCCGACAGATTAAGTGACTTAGGCTAGCTTAAGTGTTTCACACTCAACTCCTAGACGGCAGCAGTCCATTCATTCGGGTCAAATCAATCCAATAAGGGCTAATCATGGAAAAATCGGCAAGAAAAATCGACCCGTCAAGAATTATCCAATACTACAGTGATAGTTCATTTCTAAAGTGCTTAACAAAACGGCGTAGTGAAGCAATAATTTTTACTTGTATTTTACAACTGCCGGTACTTCGTTTTCCAAATGGTTAGTTAAAAGAAGTGAAAGGACTCACGCTTGGCATCAGAGAGGCGTTTAAAGTGCGAGTCGAGGTCAAGGGGCAGCAGGAAGTTGGCTGTAGGATCGAGATTACGGCAAAACTTGCGGCGAGTAAGAACTCCTGCTGGACGCTGTTGTTGCTGCTTGCCAGGAGTGTCGATGGGCGAGGTAGAGGCCGAGGAGGCCGCTGAAGATATAGAACTGGTGGGTGTGACGGGTGCCGAGGAGAGCGACCCGTTGTCGCTCATTCCACCGGGACTGTTCATGCTTCCTTGAGTACTTGTAGGGGTCACCGGCACATCGTGGCAACAGGTGCACATGCATGAGTGATATCGTAGTCGTGCCTCCTCCAGGTAGCAGTGATTTAGTGCTTCCTCCGCAGTAATCCGCGACTTCTGCATTGATGACATGATCAAAACTAATTCACTCGAGACTCATATACATCTCGGAGTGTGATACATTTTTAAATGCGAATCATTGAATAAGAACGCTTCATTCTATTTCATCGTTCTTCCAAAACTCTTAATTAAATAGCTCAATTGGTTTCTCGTCTATTTTTTTGCCTGCCTTACGTATTTTAACTTACTCACACGTCACTTGAATCCTAGTTCGAACTCCTTAATCCTTTTTGAAATAAAG